TTTTTTTTCCTGGGGACCCTGTGACACCCCATTGAAGAGCCGTAGGCTGTGGATCTCTTAAGATCTCACTGTTGGGTTTGTAAGGCCATATTACTCCTAAATTTCTATTTTGTTCAAAGAGAAGTTATAAAACAAAGTTCTAAGCTATTCAACCTTAGTGTTCTCCTTTTTTAAAAATAATTGATAAGAGAATCGACAAAGAATCGAATCATTAAACAGAATCGAAAACGGAATTGTGAAAATCTTATCAATACCCATCCCTATTTACAACGCTACATCTGAGGTTTTCCATTGGGTGAGTGAATACTTCTGGCAGTAGTGAATTACTGTGTATCTATTCAAGTCACTTTAGCAGGATTTTTTTGATCTGTTCGATGAATTGGTCTTACCTTCTGTGTCTGTTGTGATACAGGATCTTCATATCAAACCCTTTGCTTCTCTGAGCAATTTTGTATCCGATGTGTCCCATTCCGATGATCCCCAGAGTCGACCCGGTGACTTCGACTCCCATCAGGCTTTGTGGTATACTGGTAGTGTTGGGGTCAACAGCTATTTGGTGACCTATGAGAAACATTGCCATATTTCCCGTTTAAATATCTTTGGGTTTTACTCAAACTGCTCCACCCTGGGATCAGATTTGAACCTTTGACCTCACCTTCAACTATCTTTCTTGCGGATGCCAGCAGCAGACCCATAGCCATATCTGCAGTGGCGACACTCACCACGCCGGGCGTGTTGGCCACCTTCACCCCGAGACTGGTGATGTACGGCACATCCAGGTGGTCGATGCCCACTCCTCCACTGGCGACCACTTTTAGTGATGGAAGCGAGCTGAGCAGCAACGGCTCGGCTGCAGGGTAGCTGTTCCACATCAGTATGGCCTGGATCTTTGGGCCGTGCTGCTGGGGGTTTTGTAGAAAGTCTCTGAGGCAGATTATGTTGAAGTGTTGTTTTATTATGTCAGTGACCTCTTCGATGAAACCCTGCTCGCTCACCTCTGAGATCAGAGCCCACGGTTTGTCCTCTGCCATCGTCTGATTGGATAAAGCACAGGATTCATAAGGGAGAGGGTAACCAGCAAAGAAAGGCACTGGGACCAGTTCCCACCTGTTTCCAAACTTTACACTATGATCTGGATTATTGCTTAGCATTGACATTAGTTAAAATCCAGTTTTATCTTTTTTATTATCCCCAAATGTATCATCCAGATGACTAGAACCACTGACAGGTAAAGTGAATGACAGTGGTAACCAATGCTACGGTGGTACCTGTCAAACGTTGACGTGTATTTTGTAAATAGTTAGTATTAAGTACATAAGAATTGCTTTTTCTAGTCCATTTCCTGAACATTGAAGTTTCACTACGGCAGACCCACGTCATTGACAGCTGCCGTGACACAATTACGTAGCCAAGCTTGTAGTGCATTTTGCTTGGGAAGGTTTCTAATGAATTGCTGCATTCTTAAAGATTTTGAATGGAGTCAGGTGACCAAACAGAAAAAAAACCTTTTCAAATGGAGTTTAAAAAATTAATTAATAAATAATAATAATAATAATGATAATAATAATAATAATAATAATAATAATAAATTTTATTTATGAGCGCCTTTCAAGTCACCCAAGGACACTTTACAATAGGATAAAACACTTAGTAAAACAATGGCAGAATAGGAACAATAAAATAAAAGCACAAAATAAAATTAACAAACAGTGGAATCACAGTGAACATGCAGATTTGAACAGATAAGTTTTGAGTTGGGATTTAAACTGTGGGAGAGAACCAATGTTTATTATTTCTGGGGGCAGAGAGTTCCACAGTCTGGGAGCAGAGCAGCTGAAAGCTCTGCTTCCCATGGTGGTGAGGCGGAAGGAAGGTACAGCAAGCTGGATAGAAGAAGAAGAACGAAGTGAACGGGCAGAACAGGTAGTGGTTAACAGATCAGAAAGGTAAGGAGGAGCGAGGTTATGAATGGCCTTAAAGGTGAGCAGAAGAAGTTTGAAAATTATCCGGAATTTTACAGGGAGCCAGTGAAGTTCTTGAAGAACAGGGGTGATGTGCTGGTAGGAGGGGGTTCTGGTGATAATGCGAGCAGCAGAGGTCTGAACCAGTTGAAGCTTATGGAGGGATTTTTGGGGGAGACCATGCAAAAGAGAATTGCAGTAGTCAATACGGGAGGTAACAAGACTATGGACAAGAATGGACGTAGACTGGGTGGAAAGAGAAGGAAGCAATCTTTAATGTTACGTAGATGGAAGTAGGCAGAACGGGTGAGATTATTGATGTGAGATTTATAGGAAAGTGAACTGTCTAGGATGACACCAAGGCTCTTAACCTGAGGAGAAGGGAAAACTGTGGAATTATCGATGGTGAGTGAGAAATGGTTTGCCTTCAAAAGGTTGGATTTGGTGCCAATAAGGAGGATCTCAGTTTTATCCTCATTGAGCTTTAGAAAATTAGAGGTAAACCAGGATTTTAACTCGGATAGACATTCTGTAAGGGAAGAAGGTGGGAGGGAGGAATCAGGTTTGCAAGAGAGATATAACTGGGTGTCATCAGCAAAACAGTGAAACTGAAGATCAAATTTGCGGAAGATGGTACCTAGAGGGAGGATGTATATTATGAAGAGAAGAGGGCCTAAAATTGAGCCTTGGGGTACACCAGAGGTGACGGGGAATAGACGAGAGCGGAATGATCTTAGTTGAATAAACTGGGAACGGTCGAGGAGATATGATTGAAACCAGGCGAGGGGTGTGTCAGAGATGCCGAGAGAGGAAAGTCTGCTTAGAAGTACAGAGTGAGAAATGGTGTCGAAGGCTGAGCTCAGATCTAAAAGGACGAGAATGGTGAGAACACCAGAGTCAGCTCCAATTAGAAGATCGTTAGTGACTTTAAGTAGAGCAGTTTCAGTACTGTGACATGAGCGAAAACCAGATTGAAATCTCTCGTAGATGTTATTATTAACCAGGTGTAAATGAAGTTGAGCTGCAACCACTTTTTCAAGTATCTTAGAAATGAAGGGTAAATTGGAAATCGGACAGAGGTTGTTAAAGTTGTTAGGATCTAAAGAAGGTTTTTTCAGTATAGGAGTGACTAGAGCAGTCTTCAATAAGGAGGGAACGATACCGGTGGTGAGAGAAGAGTGAATGATAGCAGAGATGAATGGGAGTAAAGAAGAGAGGCAGGATTTCACAAGCCCTGTGGGCATGGGGTCAAGATGACATGTGGCAGGCTTTGATTTACATATGAACTTGGAAATATCAGATAAATCAGGAAGATGAAAAGTGGAAAATGGCTCAAAAAGGAGAAAAGGTTCTGGAGAGGGCGTAGACACAACATTTGATCTGAGTTGCTGGTGGATGTTATTGATTTCTGTAGTCCAGAACAGCATCAAGGAGTTGCAGGTTTCAGAGGAATAGAAGTGCAGTGGTAAAGCATTGGGGGGTTGAATTAGTTTGTTGAGAACTGAAAACAGAGTCCTTGCATTACCCTCATAAGAACTGATAATACCAGAGTAGAAGCTTTGTTTGGCCTTGTTGATGGAGTCTTTATACTGAAGTACGTGGTATTTATAGATTTCTGAATCAACAGTTAAACCAGATTTCTTATATTTACGCTCTAGCTGCCGAGCTTTGGCCTTCAGAGCTCGGAGGTCAGAGGTAAACCAGGGAGCAGAGCGAGCCAAGGAAACACAGTGGGTTTTTACAGGAGCCAGAGAATCAAGGACAGTGCGTAGACAATTATTATAATATAACAACAAATCATCAGGAGTAGAATAGAAGTCCGGAATCTGAACATTGTCCAAACTGGTAGTGAGAAAGTCCATATCAATGTTCTTGATGTTGCAGAACAAGATGAGACGGGTTGGCTTGGTAGAAGAGCAGCAGAGAGTGAGATTAAATGAAAGGAGGAAGTGGTCAGTTATGGGGATTTCAGTAGCAGAAAGATTCGAGGGAGTAAGACCAGAACAGCAGACCAAGTCCAGGGTGTGTCCTTTAGAGTGAGTGGGAAAGTCGATAAATTGTTTAAATTCAGAGCCTTCGAGACAGGAGGAAAAGTCTCTGGTGAGCAGAAGGTCATTATTGTCCATGTGAATGTTGAAATCTCCCACCAAGATCACATTTGGGGAGAGAGATGAAAGATAGGTTAGTAGATTAGCAAAGTCACTGAGGAAGACAGGGTTAGGTTTGGGGGGGCGGTATACAGTAGCTATGATGGTGGGAATGGGTCCAGTCAGCTCACATGCAACGACCTCTAGAGAACTAAAGGTATCAACGTTAACTGGCAGGACTTAACGTTGGAGCAGATTCGTTTAGCTGAGAAAAGTCATCAGGTTGTTGCCAGGTTTCAGTTATCTGACCGTAAGTCAAACTTACAGTCAGATAGGAGGTCTTGGATGAGAGGTCCCTTATTTGTCAACGAACAAATGTTTAGAAGACCGAAGTTGAGTGGAGTATCTTCTTTTTTGCTAATCGCGGTGGGCGCCCTGGGCAGGTGGGCTAGAGATCGATGGTTGACAGCCCGATCAGGGTTCCTGCGAGGGCGGCGAGTAGAAGACCAGAACGATTTAGTTCCATTGGAGTTATGGAAAATCCTGCGGGACCCGCGATGGATGTATCTCCGGCGAGGCTGGAAAGTGATGCCCGGGTGGTAGTGGAGCTCCGCCGGCGACAGGAGCGATAGCTGCCCGCGAAGGCGCAGGAGCTCAGCGGCTGTATAGCGGAGCAGTCCAGCCGTAGGATGGTAGACGAGTGTCAGGAGAATCCAAAATAGTGCCGACCAGCTCAGGAGCATCTTGGTCCACATCTTCGATTATGTGGAGGAAAAGGAGCCGAGCCGGCCGGAGCAGCGAACAGGTAGGCTAAAATAGCTCAAACAGTTAAGCTAGTGCAGCTCACTGAGAAGA